ATTCTTTTTGCATTTGTTATTGAAAAATCTGGTTTAATTGCTTTTAATATAGTTTCAATGGTTTGTTTATCATTTTCTTCATTAACTTGTTTGTCTTAAGTAGTATGATCAGCAACTCCACTTATAACGATGTTGTTTTCAATTCTTTTTTTGTTATTAAACTCGTTTGTAATTTTTGCCATCAAAAGAAACCAAAAAGAAACCAATTAAAACCAAAAGAAACTTCAGTTTCTTTTGGTTTTAATTGATTTTTCTGAATTGATGTTGCTTGTGCATATGTGAATATTGTTGTTGGTTTATTTATTGTTGCTGTTAAGTTATTTATCTTTTCATCTTCAAGAATTTTAAGTCGTTTTAAAAGGTCTGAAACAATATATGATATTTTGCCACACCATTTATGCCTGTTTTTGGTAACTTCAGTAGATGCACTTGGAATTGTTGGCGAATTTGGTTCTTGTAAGCATTCATAGTCAAATTCCATGCTTTTTTTATTTATTTTTTTCAAATATATGAGAGGGCTACCACACTAAATAACAGTGGATTACCTCCTGATGTCTTCTTTTTAACTCAAATTCAACGTAAAGTTTTTTGTGTTTTTTTTTCCGTATATATATATATATATATATATATATATATATATATATATATATATATATATATATATATATATATATATATATATATATATATATATATATATATGTATATATATATATATATCCTTATAGTGTAGTCGAAGGAGACTTTTATGGTAAAAAAAAGTCTCTTTCGACTACAAAAACTGCAATAATAATGACTAGAAAGTTTTTTTTAATTAGTGGTGTTTTTGTTTTTGTTTTATTAAAAAACATTTTTAAAACATGCGTAAGTGTTGCTACATCGACTATCTTATAGCCTGCTGCTACAAGGGAGTGTTGCTACATCGACTGACAAATAGCCTGACTCGCAAGGGAATGCTGTTACATCGACTGAGGGTTTGGTTTGGGCAGGCAGTCTATCATTTATATATATCTAAATATATATATATAAAAATTTTGTAAAATTTATTTTCAGATTTAAAAAATCTTTATCTGTACGTAACAGACGATGGAGACGAAGCGATTATTATGTGTGGCAAAAGATAATTTTATGAAGTTTTTCATTTTCTGACTTCGTGATGGAACTTATTGGAATACACTTGTCATGTCCATGGGAGGAGTATTGCCGCAACAAGCATGAACGATAATAAAACTTTCCAAAGAACAAATTGTTATTTCAACGATTAGACTTGTTGTCTAAATGTATAAATGCTTTTTGAATATTCTTATTATATATCATCCTAATTTCAAAAAAATGTTTCATTTTTTCCATAGAAAAACTACTTTTGTAATATTGTTTTATAGTTTAGGGGAAATATTATTGAAACAAAAAAACAGAATCTTATTTTAAATAAAAATAACATTGAAATAAGAAAAAAAAAAAAATCTTATTTTAAGGAATATAAATTCTTGAAACAAGAAAAAAATACATAGTTTTAAGAATATAAGTTCTTGAAATAAGAAAAAAAAAATCTTTTTTTAAGAATATAAATTCTTGAAGCAAGAAAAAAAGTTCTTGTTTTAAGAATAAAAATTCTTAAAACAAGAAAAAAAGTTCTTATATTATGAATAAAAATTCTTAAAGCAAGAAAAAAAGTCTTGTTTTAAGAATAAAAATTCTTGAAACAAAAAAAAAAATATTTAAGAAAATTGTTCTTAAAACAAGAAAAAAAAAATTCTAATTTAAGAATAAAAATTCTTGAAACAAGAAAAAATATTTTTATGTGACGGACAAGTCATTTTTCTCTTGTTTTAAGACTTTTTTTGCTTAAAACAAGAACTTTGGATTTTGCTGTGCAGTCTTTCCTAACTTTTCTCTGTTCCAAATTTCATCGAATTTACTGATGTTGGGTGCAAACCTTTATTTTTTGAAAAATGTTTTCTTAGTGGTAAATGATTCTTTAGAAACGCAGAAAAAAAAAACCTTTTTACAAGTTTAAAAAAAAATGAAATGAAATAAATGTTTGAAAATAAACAATTTTTACTTCTTTTAGATATAACAGAAAATTCTCTCAAATAAGGCGCAACACATTTTTAAAGATTTTTTCTTTTATTAAATGCAAATAAAATAAAATTTATTAAAGACGAATAACTTTTTTGTGATACTATGTCATGCAATTGTGTCAAAAACTAACTTGCATCAAGATAATGATTTTTTTTTTCGTTTCCCTATATTATTATTTAATGAGCACACAAGAAATTCAATTATTTACGACAATTTCATTGGATGTATGAATGAATGGATGAATCTTAGTGTTAAGTTGTCCTTGTTGCAGCAGGAGTCATACATGTTTTTTAAATCTTTGATTGCACGCTCACAGCACTGGTTGCTTTGGACAATGTTGATTTGAAATTTGTATGTTTTCCAGTGGTTTTGCAAGCATCTGAGACCTTTTGCTAGTCATTTAGCATTGCAGATAGTTCATCAAAATCTTAGGCGCAAAACAATTGACTGCTAAACCAATGGTCGGCCCAATAAGTAGAAAATGAATTAGCAGATTTTACGCAGCCTGTTACGGGTTTCAGGCATTAAAATAAACGCAAGATGAGCTAGAATGCCTCGAGAGTTCCAGGCATGCATTGCTGATGTTTAGAATTTGTTGAAACTTTACGAAAGGTATATAGTTCATCTAAGTGTGGTGACGAAAGACAAGAGTGAGATGGTAAAGAAACTTTATGTAGTCGCTCCAGCTGAATGTTTCCTTAACCTCATTTTTACGGTTGCTAAAGGCTGATTTCAATTTATCATAATTGCTCATCGAATCCTTCACAAAGAATAAAATCTTAAGTAATTTAGTCGTTTCATTGAGCTCATCGTTCATGACAACGAGAAGAATGAGATCCAGCACATGGTGTAGGCAACTGATGAACTTGGGTTTGTAGTAACTTTTCTCTTAACCTTTCTTGGGTTTGTAGTAACTTTTCACCAAACATTTGGTGCAGCCAAACAACAACGCCTGTTTTCATTCCAATATTCAAAGTTGTTGTATTGCTGATCCTTACAGGTTGAATTCCTCTAACACATCGGTCTGCAACTGTTTGAGCTTTCCAATCTTTCAATTTTAGCGCATTCAACTTAATTTCTTCTGCTTCATTTTTGTGAACCATTGCCTGATATTTGAAGCCACCAATGTGTTTCCGTCAAAGTATATGTTCCATTTCTCGAGTTAAAGCGTATTCACCATTTGCCTTTAACCTTAGTGGTGTTAACCAGCTCCTTCAATGTTTTGTTTCTCTTTGCAGCACGAATAGTCTTTCAAATTTTGTACAAATGACTTGATCAATTACAGGTGAAAAGTTCAATGTTTTGCTCCATAAGGCTCAACATCAATTATACTAATTCTCTAACTCCGTTCTTTGGTGGTGGATTAAAGAAATTTGAAGCGTACAATGATTTGGTTTTTCTAGGGCATGCAAATCTTTTCATTCAAGGATGCTTTATAAACTGCCACTTTGCCTTTTCTTAATGGCGCTTGAAACTTCTGAAAAATCTTTTCCAATCTGATCCAAGTTTTAGTGTTAAAAGGGCTCTTTTTAAACGACATTTTATATCCTATTCAGCAACTGAAATAGAAAAGACCTATAAGTAAGTATTAAACATGTAACAAATTAAAGAAACTGTTACTGAATTTTCATATATTTTATTTAAAAAAAAGTAATTCAAAATTATAGGAAATAAAAAAAAGTAGGAAACTAATAAAATATCAGATGCACAGTTATATGTTTGTATATAAAGCACAAATATCAATGTAGCTCACCAAGTAATGCATGACCTCTTTTAATTAGGCAATAATAGTGATGACGCAAAATTAATCTAGTTTCTATCCGCTTTGAACACCTCACTCATATACCAGTTTATACCACACAGCAAAACAGGTAAAAAAAATTCTACAACTCTACAGAAGCTTCTTGAACGCACAACGTTCTACAATATTCTGGAAAATTCCAAACAATTCTCTCTGTGCAGTACCATGATATTTTTCAGGGGGTTTTTGTAAAACGAAGACGAGTAAAAAATAAATGTTTTACTTGATTTTGATAACAAAATTTGCGTGAAAATAGACCACTTGTTACAAAACGGGGGTCAATTGCACCCAGAGTCTTCCACACGGTACAAGTCTGTATAAATTATTATACAAGTTGGTTTAATGACTTATATTATATATGAACATTGTTAAAAAAAGTATATATTACGCTAAAATGGCCAATATATTACATTTCAAATTGGTTTGTGCGTGACCTTTTTCAATATTTCATTGGAATAAATAAAGTCATTAATAGGCAAAATTTCATTCATTTGTGCTACAGGAAATGATATTTGAAAAAAAAAGTTAAAAAGTTATCACCCTAATTTGCAAAGTCATTCAAACTATATTAGTAGTTTTTTAATTGATAACTTTTGTTGTACTTTATTAACTACATACAGAATCGCTGTTAGTTACAGTTCCTGCTAGTTATAGATTCTGTTAACTACAGTTCTATTAATAATTATTTTACTTGTTTGGGATCATCCATAAAAGATATCACTTTAATTTTAACTAATGACATGAAGTCGGAGAATGTTGGCTCTCGTGCGCATAGACTTTAAGAGTAATATAGCGCCATATGTTTAATGAAAGTCTCCGCGGAAGAAAGCCGATAAACTTCTACCTCAGGTTAGTAACTAAATTCTGAATGACGTCCTTTATGGATATAATATTATATTAAAAAAGTAAGGAGTTAATTCATATTTCCAATATTTGTTTTTTCATATATGTATATAGAGTTGTTGTTTTTTTTATTACGTATGTATACAGATATTGCATCAATAGCAGGTTTAAAAATATAATCAAACAATTTCCTAAGTAATTTTGTTACGCATGAGTCATTGCATGTAGTTCTTATCATAATAGATTAATTTTAAAACTTTTTATGGCAAATAAACAAAAATGTAGACCAATATCTTAATCTATACATAGAGAGACAGATATTGTATTGATGGCATATATAAAAATGGAATCAAACAATTTTCTAAGTAATTTTGTTATGCAAGAGTCATTATATGTTATTTATATCATCATAAGGTAATGTATATAAATATGTATTAGATGTTGTTATTTAGGCCAAACTTAAAGAGACTGCTGTTTGATCAAATTTGGAAGATGCTTTTCATAGCAATATTTTTCACTTTTTGTTTGGCATTTGTTTACGGTGGTGATGGAGTACTGCATGTGCAAAAGCAAAGCGTGTGCACCGAAGTCTCAAGTCCGCCTACTAAAGATTGCCGTTGGCATGCAAACCTTGATGTATATGCTGATTCGATAATTCTCGGAGGCTGTACGGTGGTTGCATTTAAGCTCCAATGGTTTAGCGGCGCTTGGTCGGATTGGTTTGTTAAAGGAGTCAATGACATTGACGTTAAAGTTAATATAAATCCAATACCCGCTTGCTCTACTCCCGTTTTAAAAAATACCATGCGTCGATGGTGGTCTTACTTCTACGATCATAATCATAAATACATTAAATGTTGTCGCGCACCTAAATAGCTAAAAAATTTAAAATTGTAAAAACTATTGAATAAATATGACAAAGTCCTCATAAAGTTTTTATAATTGTTAACGCGTTGTTATACTTTTTTATAACTCAAATTTGTATGTTTTTTTTGGTGGTAGCAAAAGATTTATAATTATATTTGTGTTATTTATTATCTATGAAATTATTTTCCGCAATGATTTTTTTTTTTTTAATTATTAGTCTCCCAATATTCAAACTATTTTCAAAATAATGAATGCCAAGATATTGAAAAACAATTTTCTAATAATTTGGCATTCTTTTAAGCATAATCTTGTTTTACAAGTTTTGTGAAAAAAGTATTGTCTAAAAAAAAATACTTTAAATTTAATATTTTAAATAATTGATTTTTTTTTCTTCACATACAAAATTAAACATAAATATTATTCCATTAACTACTGTAGAATCGTGATAATTTTAAACATAAATATATATATATATATATATATATATATATATATATATATATATATATATATATATATATATATATATATATATATATATATATATATATATATATATATATATATATATATATATATATATATATATATATATATTTATATAAAATCTCATAAATAAAATTTTGGACAAAATTTAAAAATTAATATTTTAAGAACTAATAAGTTTTATTATTTATTATTTCAACTGTTAATATGTGAGTATATGTAGCTTATAAAAATATTTAAATAATTATTTCAAATACCATATTTGGCAATATTATAAAGTTTTTTTGAAAGATGCTTTATTTGAGTAAGGAAAATTTCTTTATTCATCTTTGAATAGCAGTATCTAATTCTTGCTTTAAAAAGTCAATTTTAAAAAGTCGATGACCAACTTTGTGTAATGTGATCGAGCTAGATCAGGTCAGAAGATAAACTCATTTTCTTTTTTATAATATTCTGATACTAGAGGAAGTAAAGTTTTTTCTAGTATCTCTTTATAAGTGTACTGGTTGATTGCCTGCTTACTGTGATGAGTATAAAGAGGGCTTATTCCGTGGGAGCTGATGCAACAAGAAAGTAAGAGCTTGTCCTCGTACTTTTTACGCAAATTGTATCTTAATTTGTCAGAACATTGAGAAGGATCAGCGGCATAAAACCTATCATTACCAGCTAATGTGCTATTGGTTAAGGTAAAATAGCTTTCATCATCCCCCAGTGGGCACACGACGTTATTTCAACGTTGATTTACGGTTGATTTTTAAACCAAAAATCAACATTGTGTATAAATTCTTTATTCTAGCAAAACAAAAAAAGATAATTAAAATAATTGAAGTGCAGTTCTATTTAAAATGCCACTTTCAAATCAATACACTTTTTTTATTTTGGAATTTTGGAATACACAAATAATCATGGTGGTGGAAGAAAAAAGTGGCTTAAGTTATGGAAGAAAAAAAAAAGTTTTATAATATGTGAAAAAAGTCTTGGAATGATTAAGACAAGCTTTTGTATTGTGTGACTCAGCACAAAGCAAAACAAGCTGTATACAAAGCTCAATCAGATGAGCAGAGGTTATTGGGTGAGATGTTAGATAAAAGAATAAAGGAGGGTACAGAGTTGTAAAGTAAATGGTTAGGAAAAATAAAGATTTTTTGGGAGAAGGCTGTATTAAAGGGCTAATGAAAACATCTACAAATAAAGTTGAGGTGAAAACAAGGTGGATTCATTATTAAAAATTGCTAAATGAAGAGTTCGGATGGAAGAGTTCGGATGGAATTTAGTGAACATGTAGTGAAGTGAAATTAGCTATTCAGAATGCTCAGGTAGGCAAGACCTGCTTTCTGGTATATTGGCAGAGATGTTAAAAGCTTCAGGGGATGTGGGTGTTCAGTAAGGGAAATTTTATAAAACTTAAAAAACTGTTTGTTAACAAGAATTTTGAAAAAATAATGAGAATTTAAATTATAATATATTTTGATAAACTAAAGTTTAAATCCTAAATCTTTTGATTTAGAACTGCACAGAAAATTTAATTTTTAATTTTAAATTACATAACAAAAGTTTAGTATACCTAATTAAACATAAAAAGGTTTACATATTTATCGCTTACTTAGTAGTTGATAAATTTTGGGACAGAGCAATAAAAAAGCCACTTTTCTCTAATTTTGTAAGTTTTGTAATATTCTCTGTTGATATCTCAACATTATTTTATTTTAGTGTGCATACTGTTGAAATTTAGTAAATTTTCATGAATGCTTCCTTCATCTCTGGTCTTTAAGGTTCTACCTGTTCTAATATACACTTTGAAGACCTGCTGTTTATACTTTAGTCAACTATATTTATTAATATCTTTATCCTTTGCTTTCGAATGGCATTGAAACATTCAAACATCTTAGTTTTATTTTGATTTTTATTTGTTATTACAATAACTATAGCTCTTTAAATATAGAAATCAAATATATTATTCATGTCTAATCTCATAACTGAAAACCAGTTTGTTTATTTGCTTGTTACCCAGTTATGGTTTATATAAATTTTGTTTAGCTCTCCTGGTTTACTTTATTATGATAAGGGTAACAGGGGACATTAAACCCCATGTTTTTAAGAGTTTTCTCTCTTTGAAACAAGTAAGTAAATGTTAAATTCAAACTGGAAATATTCTAAGTGATAGACAACGCATTTCTTTATGTACAAAAACTTTATTCTGAAAGAATTTATGTCAGTGAAAAAAAAAAGCTAAAAAATTACAACTAACGTTGATTCAAATTTTAAAAAATGGGGACAATAAGCCAGTATGTATAGCAAATATTTTTACAGTATTTATAGAAAATTCTCACAAATCCAGTCTATAGCTTTAATTGGACATAGTGATGAGGACAATGATACTTTATGACAGTGTCACTGTCCTCATCACTGTCACTATCATCTCCAGCAGAAAGATTTCTGTTTCTTTTCATGTTTTTTTTTTTCTTTTTCTGAGCCTTTTGGTTTGTACAAGACCACTTTGATGATATACCATTAAAGCAGAACTAAACTGATTAAAGTATATCATAAAAAGAAAACGTCTTGGTTTTTTTTTAAGCATCCTTCCCCCAGTGCTAAAACACTGCCAGTATCTAACTAAGGGGATGCAACAAGTATAGCAAGTAGAGAATAATAAGTTTAGATTTTTTTGAATTATTTTAATCAGCCAAAAAAATAAATGAAAATCTCTGATTACGTTACAATTATTACAGTATTTACTTAGAAGATAAACTTAATACATATGCCGATCCCTTTTCCAGAATATCTTCCTAATTTAGTTTGATTCAATCACTACCTCTTGGTTTACTAAAATGTACGCCGTTTTAAAAAATGGTAATTTTTCTTTTTCTATTGAGGATTTCATTGCGATTTCATTTTCTAAAAGTATTTTACATATAACATTTTATAGGAAATGACTACCTAAAGAATTAATTAGTTTTTCGTAGATTGATCTTAAATAACATGTGCCAAAATGAAATATAATACACCATATGCCGTTTATAAATATACGAAGTTTTTTAAGTTAGTCTTTTTTAAAATTAAACTTATTTAATCTTTGATTTAAATGTGTACTATTTTTTGAGATATTTCGATTTCAAAGACAAATCTTTTTTAATTAAATTTCACAGTATTTGAAAAAAAAATTCTCAGTGTCTTTTTTAATTAAATTTTAATTAAAATTTAATTAATTAAAAAACTTAATAAAATTTAAAAAACTTCAATATCTTTTTTATTAAGTTTAAAAGAAATATAGATTTTCTAATTCACTGTGTTTTGGCTTTCAGGGCAGTATAGTAAATGTTTATGTCGTTTTGTTAAACTGTTTTATTGCGTACCGTGAATTTTCACTGTATTTAGCAAAAATAGACACTTAAAATACCGTGAAATTTTCACTGTACTTAATAACAATTTTTGTGATAAATACCGTGAAAATTCACGGTATTTTTCAAAAACGCTCACCTTAGGTACAGTGAATTTTCACTGTATTTAGCATTTTATCGATATTTTTTTTGACGTGAATTTTCACTGTATTTAGCGAAAAAAGACTTTTAAATACCGTGAATTTTCACGGTACGTAACACCAAGGGTGGTATATATATGTATAAGTATATACATATATATATATATATATATATATATATATATATATATATATATATATATATATATATATATATATATATATATATATATATATATATATATATATATATATATATATATATATATATATATATATATATATATATATTTAAATATATATATTATATATATATATATATATTATATTTAAATGGTAATAGATGGACCCAGATTTGGGTCCATCTATTACCATGAAACATAGAAACAAGATATAAGATCCAGTTTTAACAGTCTAGGGGCAAAAGTTGAAGACATTAATCAATTGCGTAGTCGAGAATGGGATTATTTGCAAAGAGCTACAATTGCTAAGTTTTCTAAAATTCTAAAAACAGGTCGTTTTAAAATGTGCGTGTGTGTGTGTGTGTGTGTGTGTGTGTGTGTGTGTGTGTGTGTGTGTGTGTATACGTGTTTATGCTTTCATGGGTTTTTGAATAATTTAAGTTTTTTTTATACTAAATCTGACATTACTTTTAAGGTGCTAAGGAAATCCAACTAACAGAATTGGATAACGTTGTTTTAGACTTTGTTGATATAAAATCAATAAATGTGTCAGGAATTGTTGTCCCTGATATAATTATCTCGTTTGGTTCAAATGATGAGGTAATTCCACTCACTTCAAGTTAACCTTCAACATCAAGTAAAGAAATTAGGTCAATTGTCTCTGAACAGTCTTTAACTGCAGCTTCTTTTATTTCATCTATATCTGGTATATTTTAATTATTTGAGTTGTAATAAAAGTTTTAAATTTTTTACTAGTTGTTGATCAAATGTATAAAACAAATTCTACCTACAAATTTACTTGCATACCTTGCATACTTACTACCTATAAAATTACTTGCATTATGTCCAAGATTTGACAGTACAGGCACCCCTCATTTAGACACTTTTGCTTTTGCTGAATCAATACTTCAAGATTATAATATTTTTTTTTTATTTGGAAATTTTAGTATTTAGTTAAATAATATTAAATTAATAGTATTTTACAGTAATTAAATTGAACTTTATT